TATTCATACCAGTAATTCCACTCAGGGATTAGAGTTATTCTGGTCAGAATTGGGTTACATATTTAGCGCTTGTATTCACATGGCAACACTTCATATTCTCCCTGAAGATGTTGCACTCTGAATACAGTCGAGTTTTGGTCCTCAGTAGCAGCTGAATCCCCTCGGTAGCTCTACGCTCTTGGCCCAACAACAGTTTGACACTACTGTGCGGTTATGAAACATGAGACTGTCTGTTATAGCTGCGTTGTGATGAATATTTTCCATGTGTAGGAGCTGGAGGATATGCTGCCCTCGCGGTCAGAGCCGCCCATCATCACCGGAGACACAGAGGAGGTGGACCTGCAGGATTACGACGTCAGCCAGAGCTCGTCATCGGGCGGCCGCAGAGAGGCCTACAACGACAGCTCCGACGAAGAGGGCGGCCACCATGGGCCGGGGGTACAGTGTGCCCACCAGTAGTCCCATACCTGCTCACATACACACACACATGACCCACGTTCTACTTGGGGAGAAAATGTATGAGTTACAGAGTAAACAAGGAGGTAGGTCAGACTGACGAGGCTTGGTAGTTCCTCAGACACAGATCAAATAAACATATTGAGTCATGGCAACTGGAATTGTTGATTGATGTTATTGACTTGTGTGCTGGGATTATTTGGATCTGTGTCTTAAGAACTGACCCTGGGGCAGCCAAAGACCTATTACACTGCACCTGAAACAGATTTAGACACTTTAAACTTCAGGTAGAAGTCATATAATGTATTTAAGATGTATCTAAAGAAATGGATGCCCCAGTGAACGCCATGTAGGACTATGATCTGGTGTTCAAGGTGAACCCCTCACCCCTCTACTCCTCTGTCACCCCTGTTAAAGTCCATTCCCCTCCGCTCATGGGAACTCCAGATCAGTCGAAGAAAGGAATGTTTCTTGTTTGCTGAGTGTGTGACTTGCATTTTGTTTTCATAGTATTTACAATAATTAATTTAAGAACTAACCAATGTGCATACACAGACAAAGCAGCTGAGCAATGTGACGTGCAGATCCTTGGACTCATGTATTCATGGATTCATCCACTCAGCGCCATTCGTAGGGTTTGTGTCTGATTTTTACAGCTTTATTTTCTTTGTAGGTTTTTACTTGTTTTTCCCTTCTTTATATTTTAATTCAAAGAGAAAATTGGTTATTGTGTATATCATTGAACTGGTTGTTGGTAGCTCCATCAGCTGCTGTATTCAAAGCTGTGTGATTTTTAAAAAATGACAAGTGAAATGATAAAAACGTATAGCCTGTGTCCGTGCTGAGACCATGTGCATGTAAAAAGCTTTGGTTCCCGCACTTATCAAACATCAAAATAAAGCAGCACACTTCTTAAGAAATGTCTATGAAGTTGTTGAATAAATTGTTGAATTATCACGTGCCGTGTGTGGTGCCTTGTTCTTGCTTTGTTCTCATTAATAATCACAAAAATATAACCACCTCTGCTTGTATCTAGCCGAGCAGATTGGTCTTCGATGTTATGAGATCTTCGCTGCTGACACTTGTGCTACCACCAACACAACAGGGATGCACAGACTTTGCTTTGTGGGACTCAGAGCCTCAAAACTTTACACTGGAAAGTAATCAAGTGTTCCAGTCCAGAAACTATGTGTCAGCTAATCCACAGATACCGTCAGCGCTGATTGCCAGCTGTTCTCAATAATAGCTGTTGACAGCAAATACCACCTGACCAAAATGACTTGATGCTCATTTTAGATCAATTCAAAGTTTCCATCATCAGTCACTCGCCCGTTAAATGAATGAGATCACACTCCACCCTCGCTGCAGTCTGAGTAATTGCAAAGACTTGCAGACAAACAATACACTGTAATGGCTTGTGTTGAAAAGTCAGAGCGAGAGGAAGAGAATCACAATGTCCCCATGGCAGTCAAAGTCTCTGTAATGATTAATGTAAGTTTACTTTTTCTATGTCAACATGATGTTTGTATTGCTTACTGAGAGATGAAAGGCCGATGACCACACCACTTAATGAAAAATCGTATTATGAAATCTTTTGTCATAAAATTAAAGCATTTTGAAACAAAATTGTCAATTGTGAAAGTCCTGTTAAACTTGAATGAAATAACCTTTTATAATATTGACTTGAATGTTAATAATTCAACTCGGCTGCTCAGAGAGGAGTCCATAACTTATTCCACACCTATGCCCTGTGCCAATGTTGATCTGTCGAGGAGTACCAGCCTGAGAAAACCATATCGTCAATTAAAAATCATAGTTGTGTGTCGTGTCTTCATGTAGGCCTATTTCCACTGTTCAAAATAGCGGCGCCGTGGCTTAGTTGGTTAAAGCGCCTGTCTAGTAAACAGGAGATCCTGGGTTCGAATCCCAGCGGTGCCTTTTGTCCCCCTAGTGGACAAAGTTTCACTAAACCCTGTCAACTGTTGTTCAGCACTGATGTAATATCTCTGTTATGTACAGCTGAACATAAAATAGCTGCTTTCTTTTTTCTCTCTCTAGAAACAGTCCCAGTGTTTTCTGTGAAAATGCAGAAATTTAATATAAATGTACTATACTGTATATTCACTTTGTCAGAGGAGATTGTAATACACCCATCTGACCACATGGGGGCGGCACTGAAACGGCCTGCTGAACCAAGAATCCGTCAGACCACAATGGAGGGACTGGGTGAAGAAAATCATGAACCAGCCGTGTCTTGGATGTACTCTTTATTTTAACGAGCAAACGCTGTTCGTGGTGTAATGTATACTTCAGGACGATGTCTACAGTTAATATCCAACTGTTTGTTACAGTCAATCCGGGTGTGAGGATGGAAGAAGACGTATGAATAACGAGGACCACTTTGTCCTATTAGATGCAGCAAGCTGAACACAGAGAGGGCGACCAATCGACCGGAAGTTAGACAATTTTCTCTTCAAAATAAGACCCGCATAACCCGCAGTCTGTAGGTTTTTGGTTTTTTAACATCAAGCTAGAGGACCAAATTAACTATAACTAAGATATTGCATTTTTTACAACTGTACAGCCATCAGCTGAGCACAGTCTTAGCCTTCTGTTCTTGTCCAGCTATTGTTGGTAACCAAAATGAAAGGGGAACACCACCTACATGAAGAATTACAATATCTTATTCTTCGTCCATGGAAGTTCAATCAATATTTATGAACATGAGCTACTGTCTCTAAAAGCTATAAACTAGAGATGTAAGTCTCAAACTTGTGATGTCATAGGGTATAAAGTCTGGAGCTGCTCCGTAGACAATAAATGGGAGACTGATTTTATTCATCCACCGAAGGTTTTTCTTTTTTATACCCAAATGAGCATTATCCTATTGTAGTGTTCTCTGTCCTGAAACAAAAATGTACCTATATACACATTTTCCTGGGTGATCTCAGTGCCATCTCTAACATTTTTTACATGGAGCAGCTCCATACTTTATACCCTATGACATCACAGATTTGAGTTTTAGCACTCTTGCTTTTGGATTTGGGAGAGTTGTTCATGTTAACTAATATTTTTTGGACTGTTTTAGACCATAGGAAAGACATGTATGAATTTAGAAAATGGGTGTAGCTTCCCTTTACTAAGACATTTTCAGATTGATAGATAGATAGATAGATACTTTATAAATCCTGAGGGAAATTTAGGCACCCTGTATCTTATTACACAACACATACATGAACACAGATACACACAGGGATAACAAATATAGGCATTAAAATAAAAACACAGGAGTAAAATGATGATGTAGCCCCAGAACTACCACAGAGAGCTGTTATGACAGTAGATATGCTTATGATGGTAGCGCACAGGGAGTTGACAGTGCAGGTATTGCAGTGTGAGGTTATAACAGGAAAAACTCCACAACAGATCCACCAGGTCTGCACTTCCAGGTCCAGCTCCTTCAGCCAGTTATACTTTTCTGTCAGAGCTTTTAACTATAACGATCTCCCATCTGAGATAAGAAACTGCAACACATATCACACCTTCAAACAAAGGCTCAAGACCTGTTTTTTGGACAATCAGACCTGTGAACATTTGTTTTACACAATACATTGCTCAGTGTAACACTGCTATTGTTATTTATGGTTAACCTGCTGCTAACTTGCTTTATGCCCTTGCCCACTGCCAAGCAGCCAACTCTCTATTTTGTTAACAGCATAGCCAACTTTCTGTTGCACTGCTTGTGTGTTAGTGCATTTGACCGTACATAATGATTTTTTTAAAAAATCTATTTTTACTTTCTATTGCTGCTCTGTATGTCTAAATGTAATGCTAATCTGTGTGCTGGTGCTTTATGTTGCTTTCATGTCTGTTTGTGCTAACATGCTGTTTGTTGTTGTGTTATTGTATTGTACTGGTGCTCTGCTGCTGCTTGTTGCTTTGCATGGCCTCTTCTCTGTCCCTTAATGCTGTCTTTATGCTGTCTTTGTCCTGTGAAATTTCCTTTTTTAATCCTTTTATTGGTTTTCAAAGCATCTTGCCAAAGGACTGCAGCTGAAAACTAACCAGCTGGCTAACGCTGTCACATTTACAAAAATGTTGATTATTGTGTGTTTTCCTTATGAATAAATAAATCTAAATCTTTTATTTATTTACACTGATCAACAAAAACTTGCCTCGTTATTTTGTGGTTTATATTTATAATTAATTTTGACATCACATATTTTTTGGCTCAGTTTTAGAAAATTCAGACATCTACTCTAATTGAATGTTTTGCAAACATTTGAGAGGAGAGAGGATATAAACACATCTGCAGATTGCCCTTTTCTGAGCATAACACAGTATAACACACTGCTGATGTTTAGTTAATGACATATTACTTGGATAAAGGTTTGTAAATAGTAGCCTAATCCATGTACGTCCTGAAAATGTTGTTACAAGCAGACCATGGTTAAGGGTTGATGATTAGACATGGCTTTTATTTTGAAGACGTAGACCGGAAACAGTGTGGTTTCCCTTGGCTACCTTGACTCTGGTGTCTTGGCCACCGCTGCAAAGGACACAATGCTTCTCCACGGTGAGGACCCTTCGGTGTGTCGGAGCTGAACACAGATGCGGGGAGCTTCTCCGGAGGACACAGATGTCCGACAAAGCGTGGAGAGAGTGTCCGAGATAAGAGCAGAAGTCCCCGGCGGACCATGGTGCTGAGGGAGCTGCTGCTGGGACTGCTGTGGTTCCACTCGGCTCTGCTCTGTGCAGGTGAGGAACAACAATGCATCTGCTCTAATGTTTACATGGACAGCTGTGCACTTATTTATCTGTGCTGTTCATCCTGATGGAGACATGTTTGTGTGCAGGATGTTCAAACAGGCAGTAACATCCAGTGAGTAGATTTTATATGTGTTGGTGGTTGTTTATTATCATCTGAGGTCTTGTAGTTTATAAAGCTTCTAACATCACTGTCACAGCAGAGCTCTCATATAAACCTAATGTTCACACCCGGGTAGCTGTGGCTGATATTTAGCTCTGCTCTGTCCTGTGTCTCTCTGATAAAGTGTTGAGACAGATGAAGACTGAGGTGTTTTCATTGTTGGGAGAATCTGAGGCTATCATGCTATGCAGAAACCCGCGGGGGTATCGATCTGTGGTGGGTAAATGATCAGGGTTAGTGTGGAAACATGGATGCTCTTTCACAAATGTGATGCTGCTATCAGCATTACATCACTGCTTCTCTGCAGCCAGTCAGCCCCCCCCCACCCCCACCCCCTCTGTTATCATATCCTGCACTCTATTGGCATGAAGATAAAGCAGATGGCTGCCAAGCAGACAAACGGGGGTCAAACTGTTTCACATTTCAGAGGTGTGTGTGTGTGTGTGTGTGTGTGTGTGTGTGTGTGTGGGTACCCACACACACCATCCCATCAAACACACACCATCCGAAACACGTGTCAGTACTTGTTTTGGCACCTTTTCATACACAAAGTATAGTCTCTGTCTCTGACACACAGAGCAGTGTAGCTGCAGGGCTCTATAGCAGAACATCTCATGTTTGTGTCAGTGAAGAATCACACACAAGATTCACACGATGCATTAAAAGCTCCAGGCAGTTGTTACTGTGCAGCATTTTGATCTGACAGAGATCTTCGTCAGACATCACTGATTCTTCTTCAGTTTGAGTTTTGATCCAGCATCTGCAGGATTTTGGATGTGCATACCCTACACCCTGTGTGTCTGTGACAGCAAAGCAAACTCTTAATTCAAACTCATTTTGTAGACATTCTTCTAGAGCTTCAAGGGATTAAATATTGTTTTTGAAAACAACACAGATGAAAAACTGGAAAGGATTATTACTGCAACACTTTATCCAACTGATGCAATGAGGAACACCTACTCAGTGTACTCTGCTTCATTTCAGGTTTGAAGTTTTTCTAGTTGATGTTATTTTATATTTTTTAGCCACTTCGTCTCAGAGCGGAATGTTTTACTTGTTTGTCCACTATATTTATTTAACAGCTATATTTACTAGTTTCTGTGGGGTTTAAGATTTTACCTAAAAAATATACTACGCACAAGGATCATTTTCTGCATGAGCACTTTTATTTTTGATATTGTGGGTACATTTTGCTTATGGTAGCCTAGTTATGCACTTTTGCTTAAGTAAGGTTTTAAATTCAGGACTTTTACTTTGAAAGGAGTGTTTTGTTGTTGTTGTTGTTGTTGTTGTTGTTGTTGTTGTTGCTGTTGTATGGGTACTTTTACGTAGAACTGCAATAAGTTGTCAACTATTAGATTAATTGCAAATACTTTAATAATCAATTTATCGGTTTGAGGAATTTTTTAAAGAAAAAACTTCTGTGACTCTAGCTTCTTAGATGTGACTATTTCTGGTTTGTTTACTCCTGTATAAAAGTAAACTCAATATCTTTGGTTTGTTGAGAAAACAAGACATTTGAGGACATCATTGTGACGAAATATAGACCAAACAACTAATCGACAAATTCATCGACAATGAAAATAATCATTGGTTGCAGCCCTACTTTTACTTAAGTAAAAGATCTGAATACCTCTACTGCTGACTTTTATTAATAATCTTTTTGAGAAATCAGAAAAACTGATTCACTTATATTAAATCTCCTTTGAGTATTTTCATGAACTTGTTGGCAGCGTAACTCATTGCTTTAGGTTACTGGAAGAGTAAAACAGTCCATAATAAGAGCGAGATGTAGAAACTTCAGTCAAGGAAAAAGCTGCAGCGCATTCTGGTCCTTTGAGCAACTATGGGTAGAAAGAGTATATATTATATTTGCTGCTGTGATGAGAGTTTTTAACATTTGACAGGTCTGTGGCAAAGCAGACCATGGTTAAATGGTTGAATTTTGTTCAGCCAACAAACCAATACCAACCTGTTTACCTCTGATGCTATATTTAATCACAAAGATGAAACTAAACACCGCTGAACTCCAACAGGTTACTTTGGCAAACTTTGATTTTGAGTTTGGAGGCAGAGGAAGTAGCAATTACAAATAATAATTTGTGAAATACAGTCATAGCTGTGCTCAGAAACTCATCGCACCAAACAGCAACATAGTGCGGCTCTACTTTACAGACTTCTCGGTCCAGTTCAGTTTGACGTCTGTGTATTTGTGTGTGTGTGTGTGTGTGTGTGTGCTAAGGTAGCTGTGTCTGCGTAGTCGATATCCATCACTGAGCTCTAAATGATTCCTCCTCCCGCCCTCTTCTTTCACTCTGCTGACTTAACTGATTCATCAATAAAGCCTGAAACAAACACACACACTCAGCAGAAGTGAGCAGACTCTCATTGTTAAGCAGTGCAGCTGATGCTCTGTCTCTGTGGGTCTGCGTAATTAACAGGCTTGTTAGACAGCTTCTTCTTACACGTGTGTCATGGCCACTGTGGCATTAAGCTGTAATGAGATGATTAATAAGAGCAGCTTTATATTCTTGTTCTCAGCATAAGAAGGAAAATGAAATCCATCCCACTGATGTTATATTTACGTCACAGTTTAACTGTTTGTTTTAACACAAACTCTTCAGAAATCTAACTGTGATCCTGATGCCTGTATTTATTACAAAACAATAGCACCCATTGCCTGCACTCTGTAGATGTCTGTGTCATTCCTATTGCTCTCCTCTGCCACCTCACACTGTGTGTTGTTCCCTGGAGCAATGGTGCGATGGCAGCAGCGATGTTGTTGCCTTGGCTGCCAGTTTGGTGCTGCTTCTGTTTTAGCCCCCATGTGATCAGCACAGAGCTTCCCTCAAAGGCACTAAGGTCATTTGTCTTGTCGAGGCATTGTTTTAGGGTTTTTGCACCGATTTAAACAGTACGCATGTTTGTATAATACAGCAGCGATGTGGTAACGTCCTTTAAAGCGTTAATGTTCTTGGTGCTGGCATGCTAAGGTCATGATATATTCTGCTCAGGAGTTTGAATCAAGGTACTAATGCGAGTGAGTGGAGTGTGTGTGCAGTGTTCTGGCAGTAGCAGTATGGTTCCTGCTGAGCATGCATAATTCTCAGTTCATCATGAATAAAGGCCATATCTCTCTCGTGCAAGGTAGTGTAGTTTTCCTCTCAAGAATTCAAGATGATAAGGATGCCTCATGGTTACATAAAATGCTCGGTAAGAGAAAGGTCACGTTGACAGATACTGTGTGATATGTATGCAGAGTTCTGTATTTCCCTTTCTGTTAACATATCCCTTGAAAAGACCAAAACCAACAATGAATTAATTCTTGTAACAAGTATTTTCCGTGCAGCTACAGTAAAGCCTTATATGAGCTCCATTGTTGTCCAAAAACTATTAAAAACACATCAGTGGGCCACACTGTTGCCCACTGGTGTCTTTTATTTTGACTCATTTCCTCATACACCATTGTGCTGCTGGAAATTACTCACGCGCCACCAAGTATATATTAAAGTGCACCTGAAAACCATCCACATAAGACGCTCTATATACACTAGTTTGAGCAAGGCAGTAATTATAATGTGTACTGGAGGGGACAAATCCCCTCCTTCAATATTTAAACATGCTAAAAAAGTGCCTCCCAGTGTACTGATAGAAAAATATAAATTAAACTAGAATTACCACTTCATGGTTGCATGCCTCTGTGAACCAGTCAAGCTGCAGTTTACATCCATGTCTGTCCAGACTCATATGTCGTTATGGCTGAAGACAATGCTTCAAATATGGATGATGCAGCAAAGCAGCTACAAATTCTAAAACATGGATGCTCACACACATCTTCAACCAGCCAGCACAGAAGATCTATACAATCAGCACAGGTTTAACGTGGGCGCCCAAGATTAGAGTCACCAATTCAGTATCTGACCAGATGTCTCTCCATCTGTTCCTGAGTTATGGTGTTGATTAATGGCCAGAAAAGTGTTTTATGCAGAACATTATGATGTCACAGAGAAGTTGACCTTTGACCTTTTGGATCTAGAATATCATCACTTCATCATTTTATCCTATTAGACATTTATGTAACATTTTTGCAATGATTAGCACATGAATTCTTGAGTTATGGCCAAAAACATGTTTTGTTAAGTCACAATGACCTTGTGTTTTCACCTTTGACTACCAAAATCTATTGAGTTCATCTCTGAGTCCAAGCGGACGTTTGTGCCAAATTTGAGATATTGTGTTCACAAGACTGAGACAGATGCAAGGTCACAGCGACCTTGACTTTAAATTATTATTATGACTACTGGTGTTAGTGTTACTGCAGTTCTGTGTGGGGGTTGTTTATGGTGTTGCTGTACCCCAGTGGAAGCCATAGCATGACTGCTGTGGGTACAGCCAGGTCCCCAGGATAGCCACTCAGCCTGGCGGCCAATTTTTCCTAGTGGCCACTCTCAGTACTGCAGCAAAAAAATCCCCCTGCAGGCCAAAAAGCATTTTCCCCAAAGACCACCATAATAAAAAGCCCCTTTTAAATAGGAATTGTGCAGATTTGCAGGAAAGCCCAATCAGTCTTCGTTCAGCATTGGCAGTGTAAAAACAAAATCGGGGAGTGCAGCGAAATGCCACCTGCCTTTTTTGTTAATACAGAATGGGCCTTTTTCGGGGCAATGGGGGGCGTGAGCTCGACACCCAAATGCTCTGACACAAATCGAAATACAGCCAGTCGAGCCGTCCCCTGCCACTCCTGCTGTTGTGGTCGTTCACATCGTGAAACTTTGTCTTCACATTCCTTAACTTACTAATGACTTGTGCCTTGCTCCGAGGGAAGCCGCAGCTGGTCAGTCTGCGCAATTCCTGTCTCCCCAGTTGCTCATGTTTACAGTGTCTTTCAGATTTGCGTTTCCCTCTTGCTACTAGCTGCTCATTCCTGCTATCAGCTGTTTCCTGTTAGTCCACCGCCAGTGGGTCGCATGTGCAGCGTCATCAACATCCCCTCCCGTGGTGGAAGGGCGCCTCGTTCTTTTTAAACCAAAAAGGTTTTGCCAATATGTTTACCCCTACACAGCGGGAAATTGGGCACCTCGGATCAACTCGCCAATCCAGCTCTGTGTATCTAAACACTCGCAGCTTGCCGGCAAAATGGCCCAACATTCGCTGAAAATCTGGCAGTGTAAAAGGGGCTAGTGAGACGTCTGTAAAACTGTTGACACCTCAAACTGCAAACAAGGTTAATTTACCATGGTTGTTTTATGTTTGTAAAACTTTCCCAAAGCCAAGAAAAGTGATTTAAAAATCTGTGATGTAATCACAATATAAAGTCTAGGGAGTCAAGCGGAAACTCGCCAGCTGGACAGATCGTACTGCGCATATTCAGTGGGTCTCGTACCACAGAAGAAAACCCAGAAGCTAGAAGCTAACATTAGCACCTACATTGGAATGAAAAAGGTGCCATCTTGGTGTCTGGTATCTAGTTATTATTAAAATCTATGGTGTACAATCAGTGTCAAACACTGTACTGTCTCTGTGTGTCTTTACTGTCAGATTTATTAGAAACTGGAAAACTAGAATGTAATACAAGTGTTACGTAGCCCATATCACTGTCAGTTGTGATAGTTTTTAATGTTATGAAAATGATCATTTTATGGATGGTCTTCTTTTCGCAATTCCATGCTAAATTCAGGAGAACACTTCCTAGCATACCATCCGTACATTAGCTAGCAAACAGCCCATACATTCTGAGCATATTCCACTCCGACACGTAAACGTCCACTAAATGATAACATAGACTGGCCTCACTAATGCGTGTGCTCCCATCTCCTCATCCTTGTCACCCAGCAGGCTGCAGTGAGCGAGTGGAGGTCCACACAGAGCGTAGGGGTGTGATCTACAGCCCCTCCTGGCCTTTAAACTACCCGCCTGGAACCAACTGCAGCTGGCATATCCAGGGAGGTCAAGGAGAGGTCATCACCATCAGGTAGAACCCTGTCACACATACAGTACACACACGACCTTTGTTGTGGAGTAAGCATCTGAAAGCATCCTTCTTCTGCTCTAGCTTCCGGAACTTTGATGTGGCGGAGTCAGGAAGTTGTTTGGGAGACTGGCTCCTGCTGACTCCTTCGAGGAACGGGGAATCCAGGCTGTGTGGCTCCATGCTGCCTCCGCCCTTCATCTCTACCAGGGGGCGCGTTTGGCTCTATTTCCACTCTCAGGCCAACGGTACTGGGCAAGCACAAGGGTTTCGCCTCTCCTACATCAGAGGTAAGCAGGACAAAGGAGGATATTTACTACACTGACTAATACCCTCTTGTGTGTCATTATGGCAGTATTTTGTATTCCTGTATTGCTTGTATAGAAATATGTTACATTATCACTAGACATTGTTGGCTCTACTTAGGCTGCTTGCTAGGCCTGTCACGATAAGTACTTTTATTACACGATATATTGTCACAGAAATAACTGGAATAAACAATATTATTGTCATTTTAACACCATTTTATACTGAGAAGAGCATAATAATGCAACTACACCCTTTCAAAGAGCACTGAACTTTCAGTTAGACTAGAAATGACAGCAAAATGTGTCTTAGCTTTCAGTATTGCCCAGCAAATGACTATGAGGGCTGGGACACTGGATCGGGATTTATATGAAGTCGGACAGAAAGTACTAAAATTAAAAGTGGGGATTAGCTGCCAGACTGTGCTGAAGAACATTAAATCCATCAGTTTGTATATGTTTTGGAAGGATGTCACTAAAGACTAATTACATCGTGTACAATGGAAATCACTATTGATTGTGTTGTTGCGCTCAGCTAAATGCAAGCATGTCAGTTTGTGTTGCAGTCTGTCATTTTCTCTCCTCTGTAGGTCACCTGGGCCAGAGCAGCTGTCAGTCAGATGAATTCCTGTGTGGGAATGGAAAGTGTCTTCCTCGCTCCTGGAAGTGCAACGGTCAGGATGAATGCGGCGATGCCACAGACGAACGCAGCTGCTCCCCCCCTCCCACTGAAGCCCGGCCTGGCCTCTGCCCCTTTGGCTCCCTCCCGTGCACTGAGGCTCAGTCCACCCGCTGTCTACCTGCTGCCCTGCGCTGCAACGGAGCCCGTGACTGTCCTGATGGCACAGATGAGCTGAATTGCCCTGACACCACCTGTGGCAAACATCTAGGGAACTTCTATGGGTCCTTTGCTTCCCCAGATTTTTTCCGGGCTAACAGGAGCGCCGCCATAGAGCTGAGGTGTTCGTGGTCACTGGATACTCAGGACCCCAAGCCCATCGTGCTGCAGCTGGACCTGCAGCTGGGACCTGGAGACTCGCTGCATGTCTACGATGGCCTGCTGCAGCGTGCAGAGCACCTCTTACAGGTGTTGTCATATCATAACAACCGGCGCCCTGCGCTGTTGGAGTCAAGTCGGGGACAGATGAGTGTTTTGTACATGGCTCAGCCTCACAGCCCTGGACATGGCTTCAACGCCACATACCAGGTACTGCAAGCTGGGAATACTGCATCCTACTTTTCAGAAAACTTGTTCCACTGTCCTCAGATTTAAACCCTTCATTCATCTCCACCTGTCTCTCCTGACTTATAGTTTAAACCTTCTTCTTTATGCTTCTCCATCCTCTCCATCTCTCTGTCAGTAGTGGATGTTTGAAACATCCTTTTTTCACCATTTCTGTCTACATTTAGAATCAACACTTTTCTGATTAGTATGGCTGGAAGATAGAGGAGCTGTTCTGTTTCTGCAGAGAACGCCATCAATCAAGCAGAGTACAAGTTGTCCTCTCTGTGTCTAGACAGTGATGTATTTCTCCTCCACCCACTCAGGTCAAAGGTTACTGCTTTCCCGGCGAGCATCCCTGTGGCAGCGATCAGGGCTGCTACTCTGAACGCCAGCATTGCGACGGCTACTGGCACTGTCCATCTGGTCGTGACGAGGAGGCCTGCCCGACGTGTCCAGTGGGTGAGTTTCCCTGCGAGGGTGGCACTGGAGTGTGCTACCCAGCCTCTGAGCGCTGCAACAACCAGAAGAGGTGCCCGGATGGGTCGGATGAGAAAAACTGTTATGACTGCCAACCTGGAAACTTCCACTGTGGGACGAACCTGTGCATTTTTGAGACGTGGCGGTGTGATGGCCAGGAGGACTGTTTAGATGGGAGTGATGAGAGGGACTGCCTGGCAGCGGTGCCCAGGAAAGTGATCACGGCCGCCCTGATCGGCAGTCTGGTCTGCAGTCTCCTGCTAGTTATTGCCCTTGGCTGTGCCCTCAAACTCCACTCCCTCAGAAGCAGAGAGTACAGGTAGGGACACCTCTGTCTGTCTCTGTATCCAGTATTACTGGTCCCCCACTTACACTACTGTCTCATGTAGTGTACTCGTTTATTTCATCCCTTTGAATTATTCAAAGCTTTGTTTCTGAATAAATCTACCACCATAATATCTCCGACATGTGGGTCCAAGAGCACATTGATACTGTTACAGCATCTAATTGCTGTTGATGGTGCAGAGGCCACAGGTTTCTTCAGAACTAATGCTGTTCTCCTAAAACTCACTCACTCTCTGACTACATCACTTAAGTTCTTTCTCTTTTTCTCTTTTCTTCTGTCCTGCCGTCTGTCTGCTCACCTTGCTCTCTTTATCTCCCCCTTACAGAGCTTTTGAAACTCAGATGACTCGCATGGAGGCGGAGTTTGTCCAGAGAGAGGCACCCCCTTCGTATGGTCAGTTAATCGCCCAGGGGCTCATCCCTCCAGTGGAGGATTTCCCAGTGTACAACCCCACCCAGGTACTGCATTCACACACAATAATGCACCCTGGACCTTCAAACTCAGGATTTGTGCATAACTGGTGTGACTAGCTAATTTTTTGCAATTTTGGTAACCAGGAGCAGCAGTGCAATCCTGAAGCAGGCAACATTAGTCAGTATCTCTTTGAATTCAATTTCTGTTTCAGTAAACACTGTAATGTCTGTGTGAGCAAAACCAATATTGTGTTATTTACACAAAGGAAAAGTTAACACTTTGACAAATAAGTTTGTTTTCTTTCTTGTCGTGAGTTAGATGTTGACTCAGTTCTTATATCTTTATGGTAAATATCAAGCTACAGCAGCCATTTAGCTTAGCTTTACATAAGGTGTGGAAGCAAAGGAAGACAGATAGCCTGGCACTGAGTGGAGGAAACAAAATCCGCCTACCAGCAAATAAGGGGTTTGAAAACTATCAATACACTTGAGTTTTGCAATATTTTGTTTTCATTTTGTTTTTATCAATTTGTAAGTAATAGTTTATATACAAAAGTTTGTGACAGTGGTTCATTTGTGTTGTGTTTAAACCCTCAACCTCTGGATCTCTTGTAATTGTCTAGTGTTGTAATCTGTCTTCAGCTGTTCGACTCTTCCACCCCAATGTTGCGTCAGTAACATAAACACAAAGAACACCAGCCTATGAAACAGACAGAATCATAAAGGGTGCCCTGCTAGTGTTTACAGTTTCCCAACAAATTAGATTTAAAAGTCACAATATATTGCAATATATTGAATCATGAGCCCTGTATTGAGCCCGATGTGCATATCACATCGCCAGATTCTTGCCAATACACAGCCCTACAGCACATCTAAAGATCACACATTAACGCATTATATCTTGTTTGTACCATAGACCGCATAAAAAAATGGTCGTCATCTTGGATTTTTAGTGCCATATTTGGGCAAGAGGGTGGAAATAACCCAAACAGTAGCTGCTAGCTTAGTTAGAACGGTGGCTAACTGTGATAATGCTAATGCTAATTTTTGATGTCGAAAAACAGGCTTAAAACCATTAAAACATGTACTTACCAGAAATAATGAACACTCAACTCCTTAGAAGGTCTTTTAGTACAACCAAACACTGAAAAAGGTGACCACAACAGTAGGCCTACAGTTAACTTTCTTTAACTGAAAATGCGTTGATATACTTTGAGAAACTGGGGTTACGCCATGTTTACATGACCTAATCAGTGTTGTTGCTACTGTAGCAACTTAGTAGGGGACAGCATTTATGAAATGTATACAGATGAGTTATATAAAAATTCAGCCCCTGTACAGTTGTCAAGAATGGGAAAATTAGCTAAAGACACATTGCACCAGGCTGTAAACATGTTCATTTGTGTTGTAAATTTGGGCATTTTAACATGGCACTTTACGGGGGGTTAACTTGCTTTTAGAGCCAGCCTCAAGTGGACAGTCAGGGAACTGCAGTTTTTGACGCTTGCTTGTTTTTCAGCCCTGGAGTTTATTGCTTGGTTTGTACTTGACAGTTAGATAGAAACAGAGTTATAGTTTCTCTGTGTCTCTACTTCTCTGTTTGCCCTTCCCCTCCTCCAGGCCTCCGTGTTACAGAACCTGCGGCTGGCGATGCGCAGACAGATCAGACGTCACTCGACTCGGCGCTCCTCCTCTTCCTCCTCTCGTCGACGTCTGGGACATCTGTGGAGTCGCCTGTTCCTCAGTGGAGGGCGAACTAGAGGTCATGCCCCCCTGCTTGACTCCCCTGGACCCACACAAATCACACTTGGGCTCCACAACTACCGAACTGTGGGTGTGCAAGGGCCTCAGGCAAGGGCCAGGTCTGGAGCTGGGCTCGGTGATGAGGCTGATGTAGTGCCGGGCTCTTGCTGCTCAGCCAACATGGACTCACAGTCCTGCACACCAGAGAGCCCTGCATCGCCTCTCTCTTCACAGTCAGTGGACAGTCCAGAGGAGGAGGAACTGTCACCTGTCAGCAGGGACAGCAGCAGGGCCCCACAGTCCGAGCCCTCCACCCCTGTTCAGAGTGAGTCCTCAGCCCATAGCGGAGCCCCTCTCACTCCCCAGGAAGACTCTGTACCCCCGTGCCACCCCAGGGCATCTAGGAAACTAGTTCTGGAGCTCGCTGTCAACCTAAAGGGTGTTTCCTTGAGACGTTACTCCCCCTTGGGGCCCTTGTCCCCTATCTCACCTCCTGTGTTCTCCAGCAGCTCCCAGACACCCACAACCCACCCTCACTCCCAGGGGCTCGAGGTGACCACGCCCTCTGAGTCCTCGTCCTCCTCTGTGAAAGCAGAGGACTGCAACAGCCACTTTACTGTGGACGTGCCAAGCAGGGAAATAAGAAGCAGGGATGAGAGGAGGAGAGAGGGCAAGAGCAAGCTCTGCAGGTTCAGCAGGACCCTCAGTGATGAGGGAGGAGATTCAGGGAGGGAGACAACGCCATGCTGAAGAGCATTTTAGGAAAATACTCTCCGTCCCCTCACTCTGTTGAGACCTGGCGTCAGCAATATCCGCTCTGCTAAAGTGTCCTTGAATGTGTCCCAACCAGATTCAGAGGTGTGAGAGAAGTAATATAATTCGCTCATGTCCACTCAACACTTTGAGTGCATAAAAATTTGCATATGCACCAAATTATGCACATGCAGTGTTTTGCTAAGATGAATAAAACCAGCGTTGGTTGTGCTTATGGTCTGTGTTGTACAGTAAATCTCTTTGTCAAACAGGAGCTTGATGTTGACTCCCACAGTTAAATGCAAACAAATGCCCCTTTTTAACCTGTTTGGACACAAACTCATCATGAGCCTGTTCCAGAAAATCAAACTCAATTCTGGCCACCAGTACCAATACAATATTGGCATCATGTCCTTACGCCAAAGCAGCCTTTGTGTCGTTAACCCAGAGCCATTATGCACCGCTATATACTGTGAACAATGAAAGCCTGTTTAGTGATCCAATATAAATTTACCTGATTAATGATCCTATAATCTGACTTATTCCTATTTTACTGTAGGAGGTGGTGTTTTTATTATTGTATGAGACTTCTATAAAGTCAGTTGGCTGTCGCATTGAAGGATAACAATAGGGATATTTTATGTTTTTGTTTTTAACAAATCAAATGAAAAGGCCAAAACAAATGCATACAGACTTCACCAGTCTGTGTGTATACTTTAACTTTTAAAAAAAACAAAATAATTTCCTAAAATGACATGGAGTTTTCATGAAACGTTATTCAAACAGGAGTAAGTGCAAGTAGTGCAATTGTTGGCAATTGCTGTTTTCAGCTGCGGATTAATACACACGTGGCGCTCTAGTGAGTATTTGCGGCAGTAGGACGATGTGTGTGTGTGTGTGTGTGTGTGTGTGTGATGGGTGTGGTCATGATAATGAGGCTACTGATGTGGTTTTTTTTAAATAGTTTTGAGACAACACTGAAGCTCTACAACACAGAGGTATAAACTATATCAGGCTACACAAACAATACTTGTCAGCAGAACTGATACATTGTTGGTTTTGGCCTTTTTCATGGGATTTGCTATCAGTACGAAAACATAAAACATCACCAGACCTTCTTTTTAAACACAAATTTGATGCACAAAAGTTTGACATTTTGGGAAATACAATAAATTTTAGCTTTCTGGTAGAGAGTTAGGGCCCTCACACCAAGCCAAAGGTCGGCTGTTGATCAATGTCGGGACATCGGTGAGCATCTGTCGCCCTACTTTTTGTGGTGTGTCTCTCACTGTTGGCCCTCGTCGGCCCTAGTCAGCCTTTTTTGGACAATTCAGCATGTTGAATCAGCATTGGAGATGGCGGAGCCCATTGATGAATGAGATCACTCTGATTGGTTGTTCAGCTCAGCACATGAGAAGAGAAATAAAAGTGAGGAAAGCAAACAACTAAGGTCAAGATGGCGAGATATTAGGCAAAATATTTTTTTTAGCCATCAGGCTAAACGGCTAAGCAGAAATGGTTCATTGTTTGTGTCACTGTTCCCTAAGGCACAGTAATATGCTTTGGTTATTTTTTTAACATCGGGTTGTGTTGTTAATGTGCTAACTGGCTAACTAGCATCTTGAAATAGTCCTGTCAGTCCTCCGATTTCCCTTTTTGAATGACAAATACAGACTAACGCTTCCTGCTTGTGTGATGAGTTATTTCCTTTCACACAAACGTAGAACGTCATGCTGGTTGGCCATCGGCTGTAGTTTTTGCAGCTTATTCAAGTGCAAATTTTTGGACAAGATTCAGACAACTTGAGGCAATGCAAAAGTTGGCTTCAGTCACCGCCAGTTCTTTGATGTCGGTTTGGTGTGTCTGGGCCTTTAGATGAGGAGATCAATGCCACTCTCAGAACCGTCCATAAAATATAAGGCTCTGCCCACCAATCAGTTAGCTTAGCCTAGCTTAGCACAAAGACTGATAAGGTAAAGCAGCCTGACTTTGTCTAAAGGTAGTGAGTGAGCAGGTTCTGTACCTTCAGGTAGAGCCAGGCTAGCATTTTCCAGTTGTTTTCAATCTTTGTGCTAAGCTATGCTAATTGGTCGCTGGCTGCAGCCTTGCCTATAGGAATATGTGATATGAGAGTGGTTAAAATCTTGTCATCTAACTCTTAGGTAAAGGCAAATAAGCATATCGCCCCAAAAATGTCGAACTGTTCCTTTAACAGTGCAGCATCACTCAATCATTCAATCATGCTAAACCTCTGTCAGTATTTATTCAACATATACTGTACGTTTCCAGCGCTATTTCTCTTTAGTGATACTTCAGTGACCCCTTTTAAACATGAAGAACTTTTTCTTTATGTTTCATAAGTTGTATGAAATTAGTTTTTCAATTAAGCATTTTTCTCTTGACATATCATCAGATTCAAAAAGCCAAACTTGGATGTAAAGTGAGGCAGTGCGTCCAAGTATAATGCCCATAACTCTGCTCAGCTCCTCGTCCTCCTCAAATCAAACCCAAACTGTCCTCTAAAGGAAGCCTTTCCTCACCTGAATGAACTTGACATGTGTCTGTGTCTGCTCTGATTTCCATTCAGTGCAGTGAAGATTTTATGTGAATGTCCAGGAAGTGTCCGGAAGAGAGGTTTCACTTCAGAATATCGACTGCTTGTTGAGTCCTGTTCATCGCAGTTGTACCTCTGCAGTACTGCTGACTGCACACTGGTCACTGCAGGCGCCTGGACTGCTGGTTTGTTCCATTGGAAATTCATATCTATGCTGTGGAATTTTTACGACAGGATGTTAAATCAAAGGCCTCTATTTTTCAGTCTTCAGCGGAGACCTGTACGAGTCCTACTTTATATTTCTCTCTCTGCCTTGACAAACACTGAACTTGATTGAACTTGATTGCCTGGTGTTTTTTGTAAAGCTTGTCTCTCTGAGGTGACCCTGGTGACCCTTTACTAATAACTGTTGGACCTCTGAAGAATGTATCACTTTCATTTTTCTTGAAATCAATGGATTTCTCCCTCTTTTACTGCAGGACATTAATACTGAACAGAAAGAGAAATGAGCAGAAGCCAGATGCTGGTTGATTTGTTAGGTTTCTGTACTTAATGCATCGTCTTTACTGCTGTTTTTCCTTCTTATAGAAGTTTTCTCATGAACGGCTGCTACATGTTATGTGCCATTAGAGATGTCTCCACAAGTAATTCCTGCCTAATGATTTGCTCTGATTCCACTTCACATCAGTTTACTCATTCCAAGCTTTATATATTTTGTGCTTTTTCCCCCATGTACCTTGTTATTTAAGTTCAAAGCCTGTCCGTCCTTAAATGATTTACGTTTATTAGTTTAGAAAGAAAAATCACATATCTGCAGAATGTATTTCCTTACCTGCTTTGTGATGTACAGAGGTGTGTTAAACTGCCTTAATGGTTTTCCTTGCTGTTGTAAATATCACGGACAGTTTCACAGCCCACAGTTGTGGTTTACATGTTCGAAGAGATAGGATGTGTTTGTGTGTCTGGACACAGCTTTATGACATGACATGTGATTGATACAACCGACTGCTCTGGAGTTAAAATGCACTACTGCATCAGGAATCTCTGGGATTATTATGGCAGGGGAGTTAAGGAAAAAGTAACTATATAAATTCAGTGTATTTACCTGTTTATTTAAATCTGTGAAAGTCTTGGTGAAGTTCATTGCTTTGATATTTTGCAGACTGCACTGACACATTGACTGCTAATGTGGTTAAGGTGATGTTTTATTATCTGTCAGCTAAGATCAAGTGTTTCTGTTCTGGGTTTTACTGCTTTGGCAGAAGCCATGTCAAGATCTTCTTAACTGTTTTGTCAGTTTTTCTCCTTTGCATTTATTCACTTTATCAAACCCTTTCCAATATGCTGAGTAATAACTGGACTTTTCAAAGGGTTAACACACAGGTAAATACACTGGATCCATGCCACTGGAAAGTAAAGTGCTACTGAACCAGGTTTTCTAAGAATGGCTTACCCTCTCCTTGCTGTTTGATTTTAAAGCTTCTTCCCTGTCAAAGGCTGACGTCAGCGTTAACTGTTTGTATGAAAGCACTTCTCTTATTTTGAGAACTATATTTGTATATTTTGTGCTGAAAGAGAAATGCCACCATGACGTTGTGGGGTTTGCTGATCAAAACCCTGTACAGCCTTCTGCTGGTTATTAGTCATTGTTTTCCTGTGCCTGCAATTAATAAACTTCAAGCTCTTTATCATTTACTGAGTTATTTCAGTGTGTGAAATATTTTCAATATGATTTCTGTTTTTGCCTCAAAACACTACTGCCAGTACAACTACCACCATAATACTGGTAGTTTATTACCTGACATCTATTCATAACATTTTGTTAGTAAGTTGACAGAGCTTGTTTTGTAGTCATCAAAGGGTTGGGCTGTACATCTACATTACATTAATATTGTGATATGAGACTAGATATCATCTTGGATATCGTTATATCCTGAGTGTTGTCTTTTCCTGGTTTTAAAGGCTGCGTTACAGTAAAGTGATGTAATTTTCTTAACTTACCAGACTTGACTAGCTGTTCTATTATTTAGCCATTATATCCACATTACTCATGATTACCTAACAAAAATCTACCCTACAATATTGTTATATCGATATAGGCATTTGGTAAAAATATATCTTATTTTCTCCATCTTGTCCCGCCCTGAGTTATTAGTCACCTCTATACTGTATCTCTTAGGCCGTACGTACAGGCACAGCAATACTTTTTAGCTAATTGCTAATTTGTCATAATAATGTCAAAATGCTAACATGCTCACAGTGGCAAAGCTGACATGTTTACCATGATAATGTGATAGCATGCTTTGCTAATTAGCATGTAACACAAAGTACAGCAGACCTAACCTGATGATGGCGCTAGATAAAAAGTCAGAGTATGCTATTGACACAATACCCACTCGGATTATCAAAAAAGAAAAAAAAAACATGCATTTTAGAAGTTGCTATATTTAATAAGTAATTACATTGTTATTCTTGTACAACTTCACACTCTTTTACAAAACATATAGGTGCACCCATCAATTGTACAGTATGCAAATGTATCACAACATGTCTGAGGAATGTGATCTTTGTAGAGTCCCTGGCGCTTGTAACAGTTTGTTTTTCTTTACAGAGTATTTACAGATCTCAACTGAGCTAACAGCGCCTGGACGTGGCCGGCAGACGTTGTCTGAAGTGTGTCTCCTAGTGGATTTGAAGCAGGGGGAAATCGGCTGGCCTGGAAAAGGACCGAATGTTCAGTTCAAGTTCCAACCTGCTGGTTTACATCATGTTAAAAAGGCCTCTGGCCCAAACTCTCATATGTTCCTGTTGTATGTACAACATAAACAGCTCATACACAAGTGCTATAACAGATTATTTAAATACATGTAAACACCAATACCACCTGAAGCACGGGTGGTATCACAACTCCAGTACAGACATCGCTGTGACCATTAGAATTTGGGGGCAACTTAGTATGTCATTGTGACCAAGATAAGTATTTTGAGTAAACAGAACCACAGGAAGTCCATAAGGTCATAGGTCAATTCAACTATAGAATGTCAACAGTACCATAATAAGTCAGTCGATCTTTAGAAAGTCAGTGGGCCTGTGGTAATTGTTGTGATGATGTGTCTTTGTGGAAGTGGGAGCAGGCTCATGCACAAGTAAACATCTATTCATCAACATGGGTTCTGGTTATGTTATCCAACATGTTAATGGTAAGCACTGTATCATAACATCAGGTGAGAAATCTGAAATCTAATAACTGTCTTGGCAGGTCAAGCACCTTGAAAGAGTTCACAGTGGCATTCCCAAAGATATGGACATTTCAAAAGTAAAACAGCCTGTCGACGTGTTGTAATGATGCAGCTTATTCATTTCTGAGCAAGGAGGCCATTTGTCCAGCTGACAGCCACAAACTTCCCATCATCCTCCTGTTTCTCCTGTGCTGTAAATATTGCTGGGAACGATGAGTGCTGTGTTGATAATCTCTCCAGTAATAACATGAAGGCACCAAGAGTATCTCTCAGGAGAAAGTAGTGATATTATAAAAACAGAACGGGGGTGTAAAGTTAAAAGAATGGCCGGATACTGTAGCTTGGCAGATAGAGACAGAGAAATACTCATTCCCAGTTGATAAACAGTAAACATCATGTGAATAATTAGTGAAAATGGAGCTGAGGGTAGCAGCTGTAATAGAGAAGTATTGCTAGGATGCAGAAACTGCTTGCATATTTACCTCAAAAAAGTTATCACACAATCAAAATACCCGCACAAACCAACACACTATACCAACACATAGATTTCATAAGGCACATTAGCTCAAGGATTTAGTTTAAGTCATAAAAGAAGAATATCTTGGAAGTGAAGCAGAAGATGACAGATGGAGGTTGTTTGAGTGAGTAGAGGAGAGAAGATGAGATAAAGATTGGTATGAAAGAAGAAACTTGGTATACTGGTGAGGAGAACGGAGGAACAGTACCACCCAACAAATAAAAACAGCTTTAGGGTTTAACATGCTAATGCCCTAAGTGTAACCATCTGCATCTTTAACTGTGGAGCTTCATCGCAGCCCCACTCAGGCAGCACCTGTGCAAGAGCATGGACGAAACCATCTCTTCACCATCCACAAACTGACCAATGTAAAAAACTGTAATGCAAAAACTGGAAGTACAGGTGCTGATGTAAAAAAGGAATTCCTGGTTTGACTGCACTGCTCAGTCAATGGCTTTGGAGGCAGTGAGGGGTTCAGTCTCTGAAGGGTCTTCCTGAGGAAACACCACATAACACACTTTCTGGCCCATGTATGTGACTCTTTCTGCAAAGCAAAAAGACAACAGGAGGGGTTTTAATTATAGGAATGTCTAACATACCTATTCATTAAAAAAAAAATTGAATATGTACTGCACAGTGGCATGGACCAACTCACCGACTACCCTGTAGACCCATTTGGGTTTGTCCTTCCAGTGAACACCCACAAAGTATACAGGGACTCCAGTCAGCATGATGACCATTCCCAGACCACAAACCACTGGTTCAGAGTACAGACTGAAGCACAGCAGCACAGCCCAGAATATCAAGTAGGTGATGGGGATCAACAAGCTTACCTGCACAGGATGAAAATACACACAATCCTGAAGACTTTCTCTTCCCTTTGTTGCCATGGTACAGCAACTGCTATATTTAATCCTTTGAGATGAGAATTTTTAAATTTCTTCCATCTGAAACAAGCATATTACAGTACACTGTATCCAAGCATAGGGCCTCAGGACAAACACATATCATGTAATTCACCTTTCCAACACCAGGGGGCGCCCATATATGATTCATACCCATCCCCAGCCAAAAGAGTGCCCCAGGAATGAGTCCTAAAACTGGAAAATGAGCTAGCATTTTTTGCACTCCTGGTTCTCCCAGCTCCAAGTCAATGGATTTTTTTAATGGTTTTTGGTTAGATGCCTGAAATAATGTCTGTGGTTAACACAAGCTTAAGAGATTTTCACATTTTGTTCTACAACATAAAATATTTCAGTTAATACACCGCTCATGAACTTTGAAGCTTCTGTGTGTCTTTAAAAAGACAATTTCTAACAAGTGGCTAAATGAGACATATCATATCATCACGCCGACATGGCTTTACAGTCTTGTTATAGTGGTGAAATTAGGTCAGGCGTCCGTAGTATAGTTAACATTAGTTTACAGCCCTATGTTAGCTTTTTACAGCTGGCGATTGAATTTAGGCTTCAATAATCAAAATTTATAGCAATAATCCAAAATCCAATGGCTTTTTGACGAGAGAACCAGTGTAATGCTATCTTTCACGTCAGCCTACCGAAAAACATCATCCCTGGGGCACTCTATGTCCCATAAATTATCCTGTTAACATCTCCCCAATGTGGCTGCTAAAGTAACGTTAGCATGACAACACAAACCGCAGCTAAACTACAGTGAGAAGCTTAAAAATATTAAGTATTACTACTAGTAATGAGTAGAAGAAGTCTAATGAAGCTGTGGTGCTTTCTTTTTATTTGTGACAACAACAACAAAAAAAAAACATTTGAAGCTACAGAACTTCAAATGCACAGTGACATCGTTACAGGCACCGGCTAGTAGTTAGCTAGGTTGCAACAGCTACTTTTTGAGCCAGGTGCTGCTGACTAGTAGAGCAAGATTAGTGAACATTTCCAAACAACTGCTAAGTTTAATTAGTTAGTTTAGTTTGGCCAGTAACGTTAAACATTATCAACGTTGTTACGGTCTCCGGACCTTAGTACATTTATTTTCTGTGTTTAATGTGCTGTGCATGTCATTCTGGGAATTATTCGGCCAGCACTTGTCAATCATTTACGTGTGTGTCTAATTGTCTGCTCTTCTGGAGGGAATCCCCGGCGGACCACACCTCCAGCCCACTCTCCTTTGCTGCTGTTCAGTGTTCCCTCGCTTGCTGGTCGGCTGGCCCCCTCGCTGTCGTCATCGGTTCCGGCCAATCATCGCGTCACCGGCCCCTCGTCCGAACCTTTAAAGGCTGCACGAAGTCAAGCGAAATGGCGGCTGTGATTTAACCTGAGCGGTCCGCCTCGCTCCGTTTGTGTGTTCAGCGGCTATAATCTGTTCGTTGTTGTTGTTGTATTTGGGAATCTATGGGCTTTAGGATTTAGCTTTGTAGCCTAGCCACATATCCTTTGTACACACACGTATATTGTTTGATGTTAATACACTAGCTTTATTGGTGTCGGTTTGAGTGTTGTTTTGTTTGTGAGGTAAGTCATAGAGCAGACAGACAGATTTGTTTATGTTTTGTTATTCTGGGTGGCCTTCCACCACCGTTAGTTAAGTTAGTTGGGGTATTTATTTTGTTGGTGATAGGTCAGAGTTTTGTTTTAATTGTTTTATGGTTTGCCGTCACCCGCCGCCCTTCCCTGAGTTTGTTTAAATGTAATTCACCGCCGAGGCTCCTTTCGTGAAGCCCGATTTCCGGGTTGTGTTGCAGAGCCTGCGAGCGCGTTTTTCTTTTTGTGTGCCGCTTTTTACAAAAGCGTAGCTTGTATTGTTTATTTTGTGTATGAATAAACAGCAGCTTGCCATATTCACTTCATTGTTTGGTTTTATGTTGCTTCCCTTACCCCAAACACATACTGGGCTGTAACAACGTTTATTGGATACAGCTGAAACACCTGTCAGTGACGTCTCCTAGCTAGTTCACGAGAAACCAAATTAAGCTAACGATTTCCTTGTCAGTTGTTAGCATCAACTATGACATTAAATGCTGCCAAAAAAACCTCCACGTACACCTATTTTTTTTTTTAAATATTATGAAATTAATGTGAAGGTAAGCTTCATGTTCGTTGCCAATTCAGTAATTATTAATAATTCAACAACTGCCCCAAGCTCTGTAGTACTGTAATTTATATAGCTTAATTACTGTACGTAACGCTCATTTGAAAAATATAGAGAACATATGCAATTGTTGTCACTTTGTTTTTGTGGCCTCATTTTTTTCTGACTGCAATAACTTATAGGCTAACTTTTAAAAAAATCTCTATAAACATTTTAGCTTACACTGTTGTGACATTTCCAGTTTCCTCAATTCCTCGTTGTGTTCTGCTGTTATTTTGTAAAGTTTTCATATTTCTAACATTTCCCAGTTTCAAATGATAAGCTGGAAAGTTGATATTTGAGCAGTAGCCAAAGTGTTTTGGCACAGAGGTCACTGGTAGGTAATGTAAAGCAAACAGGGAGCTATGTTATGTGTTCACCAAGACCATTCATGAAATAAAATGAGTTCCCACAGTGAATGTGTGGTTCTCAGGTTTCTGTACCTTGATGGGTCTGGCCAGGTGGGGTCTCTTCTTGCGGAGGTAGAGGAGGCCAGCAATGGTTACACCATAGGACAGATAGTTGATAAAGGACACATAGTTGATCAGGTTGTGTGTCTCTCCAATGCACAGGATGACTATAGTGGCAATGCACTGTGGGAGATGAAGATAAGGTCAAGGGACACAAATCTATGAAAACAGCTAAAAATATTGACAAATTGCTTCATATTAATATTAAAAAATAATTTCTGTGGATGACCACTTTGTTTGTGCATCCCTGTGAAGCTAGTCAAAGAAGACAAAACTATGAGAGGAGCACTCACGCAAACCAGCAGGGCGGGGATTGGAGTGCAGTTCTTAAGGTGGATCATTGCCAGCAGATACGGCAGGTGACCCTCTCTGGCTCCTGAGAAACACAGCCTACAAATATAGAGACAGACATTATGCGTCTGCATTTATGTTCAGGTCTACTACACTTGTTACGAGTAACTCTTGACACCATTGTTCTTATTCTTATGACATATTATCCAATCATAAAAGGACATTAAAATGAAGTTTCAGCTTGTGGTGTGCAGCAAAGCAAGATATGTTTTCTACCTGGAGGAGGTGAACAGATATCCGTTGATTCCTCCAAAGGTGGACAGTGCTACAGAGATCGGCATGACCCAGGAAAACATCCCCAGCAGCTTTTCCCCAAATGTCTGGAACAACATGTGATGGGTCACATTATTAACTTTTATTCATTATTCATTTAGTCCCGAACAGCAATGCATTCATTGATTCATTTCATTGGAAGATGCAATTTGCAACACCTTGCATAGCTCTTGTTTATCAGACTGTGTGGCAACATATATAAAGCTTGCATGTACAAGACAGAAACTGCTGTTTTTAGTCTCTTAAGGTCATTTTTTTATTTACAGCTTCTAATAATGACAACCTTTTAATTTAATACCCTAGGACACAGCGTTTAATTCAAGATGATTAAAGAACACTGGTTTCAAACTGAACTCATGACTGTTTCCCAGTTTCACCTCAGAGATCATGAAAAAAACACTTTAATCTTGTTGACTGATTGAATAATTGGTTGGTTAAGGTCTGTCTCGTGTTAGGATTCTGAGCTTCAGCAGACTTACAGTTTCAAGACTACTGAGACTCAGTCCTTTGTCTCGTTAAACAGTATATAAGCTCCTATTAGTTGCTAGCCTGGTTCCAGATCATAGACCCCGCCCACTCAACTGAGTAGGCTTGCATCTCTGGTCTGGCATACTTCAATGAATTTGCGATTTATCTCGTCCAAACGCTGGACGGACCAATGAACGCCGGGGGTCTAGCGATTAGCCAATAAGCACCACACTGATGTCAAGCTGTACGCCGGTGGGTAACTGGTGAGGATAGCAACAATGGCGACCGCTACAGATCCTACAGACCACATTAATGATGCTATCGAGGTATTTCGCCACTACTCGCGTTAATGGAGGACCAAATTAAGGAAGCTGCTAAACTGGATTTAACGGCGATGCAGCTGGGCGTGCACGACGACGGAGACATTTTAAACGGGCAATGCTTGCTTGTTTTCGGCACCCCCGAGGCATGGATACTAATGACGTCAGATTCTGGGTGAGTCGTTGATCTCTACTGATTGGTTAGGGAAAAAATCAAATTCCCTCCCCCTTGTAAATCGCCTTCAATGGAAGCCATGTCAGACTGAAGGTTCTGGGAGCTTCAGTCTGACACTCAGGCTAATTAGTTGCTGCAGGAAACACACAATCATGGAGAAATAGAGATGCTCACCACTGCCACAGCATTGGAGGCCAGCAACTCCTCAGGGGTCATGGAGGAGAAGTAAGCAATGTTGGTCATAGTGTAGACAAGGGTCACCAGTGGGATGGAAATATAGATGGCACGGGGCAGGTTCCTAATAAAAATAATGATATAAGCAATGGCCAACAATCAAATGTTGGTCCACACATTATGTAAAAATATAACTCTATAATGCAGTTCTGAACAAAGGGACTGAGCTGTATGTTATATTCCACTGTAAAGGTGCAAGTGTAACCATTAAGATCAATATTGTGTGTCTTCTATTGTTTATAGGAAAACATGTAGAGATATGAAATACTATCTGTGCATGTGCATGCCGTACTTTCGGGGCTCCACGACCTCCTCTGTGACATAGTTGAGGAAATTCCAGCCGCTGTAGGCAAAGGAGGCTTGAAGGAAGGCCAGCGCTATCTGTCCCACTGAGGGGTCCTGGCTGAATTCAAAGGCCACACTGGGCCGCAGGGCGTCATAGTGACCTGGAGAAGATGAGAGGAAAAGATCATATTAGAAAATCCATAGTTAAATTTTTTTAACAGTTAAAATATTTAAAGTGTTTAAAGAACTAAATGACGTCCTAATGCTTTTCACTGGAAAACAACTTCATTGTTTTTTACTGGTCACAATTTTATTTCTTATTTTTACCTGTGAAGTCACTTTCTAAATGTATTTTTCCTCAATTTTCACTATTGTTTCTACGTCCATGTTATATCTAGTTATGTGCACCAGGGGTCAGCAGTGTCAACACATTATAATCTGCTGTGACAGAATTTACAGTCTGGCAGCAGCTTCCTTCCCAAATGACCTTATTAGAAACAATCAAACCAAAATACTGTTGGTTCATGGTTCCACACAGACGTGTTTAAAGGTTAATCAACAGTGTAATCATTTTAAAACATGACATCTTCTCTGCCAGCACAGTTTGTACAGTTGACTCCTTCATTTATCTTTTAACTGTTTTTTGTTTGTTTAGCTTTTTTCAATCTGAATGTGTCGTTCTGCACCCAAATTCATTTCAAATATTCTCATAAGCACCACTCAGGCTATGCCTTGCTCAGAGTTTAAAATGATCATAGTTCGATCTGTTTAAGATGTTTGTTTTTCATAAGTTATATCTCATTTTCTGTCTCGGTGAGCTCTCCTGCTGTTATTTTACACATTACCGTAAAAATGAGTTGTCATTATCCTTTTCTTTTGTTGAAAATGTAGATGGTATATTTAATTTGCCTTGTTCTTTTTTTAAATAGTTTTTCCTTGCTTTGTCAGTATTTGTCATTTTAATTATTCTGTTTCGTACTGAGGATAAAATCAGTGATTGATCTAAATATACAGAGTATATGTATATGTTTACCTCTAAAGATTTGGATGAGTCCGACCACTATGATGAGTACCAAAGCGAGGAGTTTTCCTACAGTGAAAACATCCTGGATCCTTGTTGCCCAGCGCACACTGGAGCAGTTCACCCAGGTCAGGAACACTGTGGAAACACACAACACACAAATACACTTAAAATGATTTAAAAGCGTCATGTTTCTGACAGGCTTTGCCTCATAAATGCAGAGTTTCACACAGCCCAGTGTAATGAATTAATATCCCTCCCCAGTATATTAATGACTTCCACTAATATCAGAGGGAATAAATACTCTTGGGAAATAAAATCATAACCTTGATGGAAAAGCAGCATAGATATTCACCAGCTGGATGCTTGGACTGTATGTATTCTGCTGCCTCTTTCATATTTAGGTTAAAGCTTAAGGTCTGTACGTAATCACCCTCCCCATGAATCCACATTCCTCTTGTCAGCACACAGAGGTACAAACAGACAGCAGTGTATGGAATTAAAACACTTCCTACTTCCCGTTTCCTCCTGGCATTGACTGTGTGTGTGTGCCCTTACTCCCCGAGCCATTGACCTTCACACTGACCCTCAGTTTTACGTGTTTTTGTGAGTGCCACCATTACAAGGGCTGGCCACATTCCAAGTGAGCCACTTTGAGCAAGTGGCTCTCCAGCTGCCCTCAAACTCAAGTGCAGGCTTGCAAGTGAGAGGTAGACCCAGTAGGAAGTGTGAGTCGGGTGGACAGTACAGAGAGGGAAAGACAGAGAGGGAAAACAAGACTTTTGTGTAGATGTACTTTTCTTTTTAAAGTTTCAAGTTGTGCAATCCTGTACGCATCATACCACACATGAGTCTGACAAACAATGTACTATAACTGTAATTCAGTCAGCCAACTCAGGCATAAATATAGAGCATGTACAGTATTAATGTTTGCCGTCTAGGCTCTGATCTCGTCTCTTTCCACAAGGAAACATCAAGCTCAGCTCAGCAGAGTCTATTCTGTAGGTGGATGCTGTGTTAGGTAGAGTTAGGTATGTAAGGTATGTGCTGCAGTGAGAAGAATATGTTATCATGAGGGTAGCAGCAGACTCGAGTCAGGCTGCCTGAGCTGCTTTGTAATAAAACACTTCTTGGGTATTATTCAACACTATATCTCAGGAACAGAAGGGGAGACATTTGGTCAGATGCTGAATTGGTGACACTAATCTTGGGTGTTCACCATGAAACTGTGCTGATTTTATCAAAGCATTGTCTCCTGTCATGGCCACATATGAGTCTGGACAGACATGGATGTAATGTGCAACTTGACTGGTTGGATGGAGGCATTCAACCGTGAGGCGGTAATTCTAGTTTACACATCAAGGTATCAGCATAATAAACATGAAATACTGTGAAGAGAAGATTCTTCTTATGTCAGCTCAGTCTAAAAACACGTGGCTTTCTAAATGTAACATTTCTACAACCAACTGAAAGTACTCATGATGATAAAGTTCTCTGATTAATCCTGATTTAAAAGTGATCCGTGTGTGTATGCATACAAGGCTTTGTTCAGTGAACATTAATTATACTGTACGTCTAGGTATATACTGTTTATGTTCTATAAACAGTACATAGAGGAACAAAATTGTGTTTCCCTGGTCACGGTGCAAAACAAAAGAATGAACAAATGGACATAGGTGCAAACAACAAGCTATAACAAGAATTGCCACCTTGCAGTTGTATACCTGTGAAAAAAAGTCAAGTTACAGATCTCATCCATGTCTGTCCAGAGTCATATGTAGCCATGACAGTAGACAGTACTTCCAAATCTTGCTGCAAAGAAGCTACATGTCTAAAACATGGATGCTTTACATACATCTTAAACCCAGCAGCACAGAAGAGCTATGAAATCACCACAGTTTCAAGATGGCCACCCAAGATTGGTGTCACCAATTCAGTATGGTCAAATCTCTCCCTCATAGACTGAATAAAATAAGAGACGCTGCTACTGTGATGTCAGCCACCGATTTTAGCATTAAGGCCGTTACCATCAATTTTTTTGAGCCAGACTGTAGCAACATGGTGACAAACCTCAGAGACAGCCTGTCACTCAAGCAACCCCGACCTTAAATATGCTCAATTTTGGGCCTTGACAAAATGTAACCCCCCTGTCCACTGTGGAAATTAGCAATAGAGACTAAAAACGTTTTTGTACCAGGCAGTAAATGTGTATTTCTGCAGTGAAGTTGGCTATTTTAACACCAGAGTGTATGTGGATTTACTCTGTTTTGGAGCCAGCCTCAAGTGGCCATTCAATGAGCTGCAGTTTTTGGCACTTCTGCAGTTGGCTTCATTTTTCAGCCTTGGAGTTTGCCGCTTGGTCTGTCTATGTGTTCCTGAGGTATTGGTGTTGAATAATGGCCACAAAAGAACATTATGATGCCACAGTGAAGCTGATTCTGGACCTTAAGGATATAAAATGTCACGGCTTTATAATTTTATTCTAATAGGCATTTATGTGAAATTTTGCCATAATTAGCATACAAATTCTTGAATTGTGGCCAAAAACATGTTTTGTGAGGTCATACTGACCTTGACTTTTGACCACCAAATTGTAGTCAGTTCAACCTTGAGTTCAAGAGGACATTTGTGCCAAATTTGAAGAAATTCCATCAAGGCGCTCTTGAGATATACGGTCGTACAGATGGACAACCTGAAAACGTAATGCCTCTGGCCACGGCTATCACCAGCAGTGGAAGCATAAAAACAGGTACAGAATAAAAAACAAGACAAGGTACAAACTTAGAGAGTAATGACACACATGTAGTCCAATAAAACATAAATATAAATAGCCTAAATATATTTTTCTATTATTGCACGTTTGTCATTGCACTATATGCATATACACACTTTATATTTGTCTTCTCAATGATGTACTGTACCATATCAACAGGAAACAGTGGCAGAATTTGTATGCCCCCCTACCTTAAGCCCTGTACATACTCCATACTCATACTAATTTATACTTTTTCTCGAGGTGGCAAGAACAAGAACAAAGTTCGTTCTGGCCAGGACATTTCATACTTCACAAGAAACTCCAGTGCAGAACTCCTGGGAAGTCCTCATAGGCCATGCCGCATACGTCACATGGGCTAAGCATTGGGGGAATCTGACAGAACAACAACAATGGCGGAGATGGCAGTTTTTGAGTTGATGGAGGAGGAGGAGGAGGCGGAGGAGGAGGAGGAGGAAAACAACATGTTCGAAGCAGAGGAGGAGGAAGATTTGTTACTATTGGCCATTGCCGAGGAGGTGGAAAAAAGGAGTGAATGTAGATGGCATGTTCGACCACTTAGTATGACCAGAGTTGAGCAGGGCGAGTACAGTGTCTTGGTTTTCCGCATCAACCATGCCCACTTCAAATTTCTGCCCAATCACACAACATTTCTTGGACACCACACGAGGAAAAAGTTCTTCCCAGATGATGTGGTGAGAACAAGCTGCAAGAACTCCCAAACCAGGGCTGTGAGAAAATAAAGACATCATTCTTTTCGAGAGAGAACAAATTTCTCTGTTCTTGCAAAGTATGTGAAGGCCTTTAGCCTTCATCCACTCACTGACCATTGCTTGTGTTTCACGTGCACTCAGAACAGTGTGGCACATCAAATTGAGAGCTAGAGACTATGAAGCGGTTCAGGCGACAGGGTGTACATTGACACTCCATCTTTCTTTTCTGCATCTTTGCTCCTGTCGTTTCCTACATCGATTTATTTAATTTAATGTCGCTAAATCCTCGTGTTTATACACAAACACACTCTCTTGTAGGAGTGGCACAAAAGTATGTGTGTGAGTGTGCGCATGAGCAAATATGGGTGAAGGGTGTTATCGACCATGTCATCCATCACCAGGGCAAGGTTCCCCTCCCACCACAGAATTCTGAACAAACTGCTTCCGCTGGCGCGGGCACACACACATACACACACGTGTGAATGTTTGGCAGAAGGTTTTGGTGGCACCGGGCAGAGCTTTCTCTCCCCTACAACACCGCTGTGTTTTATAGTCAGTTACCCTCAGGGTGTTGCATGCATTTCCGCTCCTGTGTTCCTGTGAACCCCCCCCCCACTACCACCACCACCTCCTCCTCCTGCTTCCCTCTGTGTTAACCTTGACAGGAAGGAGGTGCCAGCAGGCTTTGAATGCGACAGCGCAGGTAAATCTGTGTCCTGCCATCACAGCTCCTATTGAAGGCGACCTCAGCACTAGAATACTAAAGTAATTACTGCTTTTACTCTTAATGGATTCTGATCCCAACTTGGTGCAGATTTATCAGGGGGCTTTAACCTCAGGAACGCCTCCTCTTGGTCCAGGATCTGGTCACAGGAGTCTCTGAACTGGAAATAACCCCGCAGTCCTGTCTGTTCACCGCAAGGTATCTGACACCAGAATCCCTCCAGACTACAGTAAATCTACAGCAGTAACTCTGGATGAAATACACACAGAGACACACTGACAACCAACAAAGTGCAGTCTGTGATGTAGTGTAGAGGTAGATAAAGGGAGGCTGCACCCAGCCATCGCTGTTAATTTGTCTTTATTTCGCTTCCATTCAGAAGTAAACTCTTTTTCTTGTTTATTTTTGTTTGTTTTTCACAAAAATCCCTCTCGTATGTACAGTGCAAATAACAGACTCTTGAATGAATAAATGAATCACCTATACCATACCTTCTACCTCTCATCTCCATTCATCCATCCTTAGGGGAAAAAAATCATCATGAAGACACTGAACAAATACACCTTAGTTGGACTAACAGTCCTTTGATTTGTTGGCTCATTTGTGCAATTTTCCTCTCAGGCATGAATTAAAATCAGTTGCTGCAACAGTGGAAAATTAAATCCAGCCTTCCTGTATGGCAGGAACAGACATGCTGCATTATATTTCAGTGGTCTTATTCCCGTGAACGCAATATCTCAAGAAGGCCTAGAAGGAATTTCTTTAAATTTGGTACAAACATCCACTTGGACTCAAGGGACTCAAAAATTTGGTGGCCAATTTGGTGGTCAAGATCATTTGTTTGTTCTTTTGTTTGTTTTAGACTGTGACCAGGGAAACACAATTTCGTTCTAGACGCTAGCTAGACGTACAGTATAATTAATGTTCA